TCAATTATATATGTATAATAGTTAAATAGTGGTTCAAATAAATAAAGACAAGACTGCTTAAAAAAAAAAATAAAAAATGCTCACTTTTTGTTGAAATTTTTGGTAAGATTAGCAAAATACAAAAAAAAGAGAAAATACTTGAAACCACCAAAAAAGCATAGATTTTCTTTTACTAGAATCAACTATCTACTAGAGCCTGCATAGTACTAAGTCTTTTCGGTAAGTAATAAACTCTAAACTTGTTAGCAAGTAGCATATAAGAACTACTTCTAAACTTTGAGCTGTTAGCAAGTAGTATATGAGAACTACCTCTAAATAACAGCTGCTGACTTATAGTCTCTTTTTTTATACCTTACATGAGAGCAGGTACAACAGATAGTGTAAAACTCCTAATATAGTACTAATACTTCAGGCAGACTACTTAATTAGACACTAAAAGTGCATATGTAACTTGATGTATCTTTGTTGTAATTATAACATATCTATATATTTTAATAATAAATCACCAACAAAAAAGTTATTTTAATAATAAAAATAAAAATAAAAAGCAATATTTAATTAAATTTTTATTAAAATATATAACTAAAATTTATATTTAAAAAAATTTTAAATTTTTAAAGAATAAAAACAAATTTGTTTGTTTTATATATTAAAAAATAGTATATTATTTTATAGTAATAAATTGCTATAGTAACTTTATATAAATAGCTAATCAAAATTAAGTAAGCAAATATATAATAAGTTGTTTACTATTAGCCAATTAAAATTAGCTATAAATTTTATAAATTTTATAATAAAAATAAAGAAAATGTAAAAAAAAAATTGTATTAATTCTAAAATATAATTGGCTGCTATATATAAAGTTACTATAAAAATAGGTTTCTATAAAAAAATTTGTTTAAAAAATAATAAATTAAATTTAATAAAAAATATAAAATAATTATGAATTAATTTTTTTGTAGCCAGGGGCTACATATAGCCGTACTATTTTTTATAAAAAAATTGTATAGTCTATTAACATTAGGGTTAGGTTTAGAGTTAGGTTAGGTTAGAGTTAAGTTAGAGTTAGGGTTAGGGTTAGAGTTTTTTTTAGTGTAAAATTGCGAGAAGAGCATTTTTGCTTAGTTATACAACAGGGTTATCTTAGTAAAATTTTGAGTTATTGTAGAATTATTGAAAATGGCTACAGAAAGCCACGGTTATATATAAATTTTTCCAATAATTACATATAAAATTTTTGCTAACAAAATATAAACAAACCATTTTTTGAAATTTTTTAATTAAACTAATTTAAAAAATTTAAACCAAAGTATTTATGCTTATTTATATATATTTTATTATTTATTTTTATTAATATAATAATTTATTAAATAAACTATTGTATTAATAAAGATATATAAATAAGTACAAATTTTTGATTAAATTTTCAAATTAGTTTAATTAAAAATTTTTTTTTTTGGTATTAAGGTGAGGTCTTGCTCATATCTTTATTAATTAATTTATATAAGTAATTACATATCAACTATATAAAGACTTAATTTGTATAATAACAAATAAATATAAATTATATGCAAGAATAAAAGCTTAGACTAAAAGTTTAACCTAAAAGCTAAACTAATTATCTGCGACCTAAACCTACTAGAGTGGTTTAGACTCATCTAGGTTTGAATTGTTAGGATTTGGTTAATAGGTGTATTATATTTGATCCACATAGTGGACCATGTATTGATTTTAAGGGTAGCTTGTCCTAGAGAAAGACAAGTATTAGTTTCAGAATGTAGTTGGTTAGCGGAGCCACATTGCCCTTTCATTTGAGAACTTTTTGCAAGCACAAGGACAACTGTAAGTATAATTAAAAAAAATTTTTAAAAGTAATTTTATTACAAAGATTTTATATAAAATTTGTTATAAATTCAAAATATAAAACAAATAAAATTGTATTAAGCTAAACATGAGTAATGAGTTAATTGCTAAAATAAATAAAGTTTTTAAATAATAACCAAAAAAAAACATAATTATTATTTATATTAATAGTAGAGAATTATGCTAAAATGTTATATAAGCTATAGTTGATACTGTCTAAATGCATACTATCCATCAGAGACTTTTTTATGCATATAGACAATATATGCATTTAAGTCATAAGAACTACTTTTGCATTATTAATTAGGAGTCAAAGTTTTTTATGCATTTAGAGAATATATGCAATTAGACAGTATAAACTGTATAAAAAATATTTAATTAAAAATAAAACTCTCTAAACCCTAACTTTAAAAACATTGTACTATATATTTTACAGGAATGAACCAAATTTTAAAAAACTTCATATTTATTAATATAAAATTAAACCATAATTTGGGTCAACTGGCCCAAAAAATTTTTATAATTCGGGCCGGCATTTTAGCATAATCCACTACATTAATTTTATAACATGTTATACACAAGAATTTGTTTGTGATTTAGATTTTTTTTAGCAGTAAAATAAGTCAATATTTCTATATGTTGAAGGATGACTTGAATAACTTTTTTATTATTTATTAATAAAGAAAATATTATAGAACAAGATTTTAGATCTGATATAAATAATCTCATTACACAGTTTCACTTTAATTTGGAAGAATTTAATAATACTTTTAAATTAGTGTTTGTTGTTGCATATAATAAATCTGCAGCGCACATTCTGCGTCACCCTGCACGTTCTTTATTTCAGGCTTGCCACATTTTTAACCCTCTATATATTAAAATTAGGTGATATTCCGCGTAGAGGATATTCGGCAATTATTAGATGGGAATGCAATTAACTTTACCAACTTTATCAAGTATTGCGCTAGATTATATTTGACTTCCAATTACTAGCTGTAGTGTAGAACGCAGCTTTTCTATGTATAATAAACTTTTAATAGTGATCGTCAAAATCTTTCACTTGATTCTTGTTATATTTTAATGACAATTGATTTTTTTTTTGTTTTTCAAAGTTTTTTATTAAATAAAATATATTTGCGCATTTATTTTAACTACCACAGAATTACACAAAAAATCGACTTTATTATCACAGAATATGCAAAAAAAAACAGCGCATCACATCACAGAATTTTTTAACGCCACGCAGAATTTGGTCTTAGTCGCAACAGAAAATCATCGTTCCTGCGTTTAGTGACCTTTTTTTTTCTTTTTTTCCTTGTTGTCGTTGTAGTATTGACTTCTTGTTGATGAGTAATTTGTTCTTGAATAATTTCGGTCTAATATGATATATATTAAAATGAATTAATTCATGAAATTGTTTTTTAATTTCAAGTGAATTTTGAAAAAGAAAAATATACAAACTTCGATTTCTAGAGTTTCGTCTAAAATGTTTGTGCAAATTTCAGATAAAGGATTTCGACCACGTTTTCGTGAAGGATTTAAAGTATTTTTAATCACCCTTTGACGTAAATATCCATCTTCGCCGGAATTTGAAAAAATTCTTCTGACGGGATCGTAATTCTCTTTATTCGAGTTACTTGACTCCATTCTTGTGTCGTTAGAAGATTTTAAAAGTTCTTTTTTATGTTCAGAAGAAAAAAATATAGAGAAAATAACTAATTATTATTAAAACCAACTTGAAGTTTTTTTCGTCAAAGTGTTGTAAATGCAAATAACAAACCGTTGTCAGTATATTATTAGAGTATGTCATTAGAAAGACATCACACGAGTGGAGTATTTAAAGAGTTTACACCTATGTACGATCTATGTACGTAATACGTCACTTGTTTATACAGAAACGCGTTGGGAAAAACAGATTTATAGAGATCTGCAAAAATCAACTTTTCTAGATCCCGTGATATAATGCAAAAGTATCGTTTTTGATAGATCTGCTAAAT